ATATTGAGTAAATGATTATTCACTCATTTGTACAGAAAGGTAAATAGGTACTAAATAAATATTGTGCAAATGAAGGCATGCATTAATTAAAAATAAAACAAAAACCAACAACACATTTTTGACACTTTGGTCAGGCCTACCCAGAGTGGATTTGACGTTAAGATCAGTTTGTCTTGTGAGTCCTTCACTGTCCTTGAGAAATAATTTACCCATATCCCTGCGTTTTGAGCTGACATGACACATGCTTGTCAGAGAGAGAGAGAGAGAGATGCATGAGAAAATCAGTGGTGTTTGAGAGGCTTTGTTCATGCTGCCAAGTGTAGGTAAAAAGAAAAAGACAGTGAAGTTTTCTAGAAAGACAAAGAAACAAAGACAAAGAAAATCTGTGATAAAGGGTGACATTAAGTCAAGCTTCATAATGAAGGAATATATGACAAATTAATTACTGATCAATTCTGACATGGAGCGTGAAGTCCAGGCACTTCCTCTGGCAAAGAGAGCTGTGATGTTTAAAATCACTCCCATGGAAGCAAAAACATAAAGCACTTTCCGTTGCAATGACTGTTGCAGGCCTTCCAAGTCCCTGTAGAAGTTTTCTCACCTGTCAGTTTTTATATTTCCGACAAGTTTAGCTCTTTCTCTGATTCTGATTAGAGCAGGTAACAGGTCATACATATGTAGTGAGGCTGAATGTAATATACTCACCTAAGGCTATGAATCCACTTTTAATGTCCTAAGGAGTGGCTACATCTTTTACTTTTATCACTGAGTTTGGCTGAGAAGATACATGACAAAAGAAGAATGTAGGCATTGAAATGACTAATTTAGAATGATGGTATCTTCACTTATTAGCTACATGTTGGTGAATTTGGGCTTCTCTTTTCTCATTTTGAAGTTGGAGATAACCTAACTGTTAGGTTTTTTCAAAATTTAGTCAACATTAGCATCCTCACCATTATAATGTACATCATTATTGACCTCTTTAGCATGTATCAGGCATTTTTCTAAATGCTTTACATGGATTAGTCCATTTATTAACAGGTATACAGTACTGTCCCTATTTAAGGCATCTACTACAATTCCATGTATATTATAGGTACATGCAATGTTTATTGTTAAATGAAAATTATTTTATAGACTAAGTGCAGCCTAAATACTGCTGATTTAATTTGAAAGAAACAAAAGTTCTAGAAGGCCATCACTGAAAGAAGATAAATTTGGAGTTTATCTAAATAAAATAGAGAGTTCAGTGATTTATAAATTTTTCAAGTCAACTGTTAATTTCACATGATCAGTGTGGCAGAAATATAGAAGCATAACTATTCTATTAGCTTCAGGGGCAGGGCTTGAAACCTACATAGCAAGTCATCTGTGCCCAGGACTCTGAAGAACACAGATTAAAAATCACTAATGTCATCCGTTCCCCTTATGCATACCTAGATAGGCAAAATGATTTATAGCATTTGTTAGCTGCAAACCCTGAATTATAAATTATACCTCCTGACTCTCTGATTCATTTTATGCTATAAGATCACAATATGAGATGTATCATAACAATTACTATGTATAATGCTAAAATGTACTGATTTAGAGATGATAGAGCCCCCTTTATGTATCTATCATATTTGAACTTCACAGTTTTTTGTGAGAGGTTTAACCTATTCCTCCTAGTTTACCTAAAAGTATTATATATAATAATTTTATAATATGTAATATATAAAAACCATTTTATAGATAAAATATGTTAATAAAAATAAAGATACATGCATAAAATGACATTTTTCTATACAAATAAGTTTATTGAAAATTTGCTGAAGTTGACTGTAGAGTGAGGGTAAAAAATTAGGGACTAGAAATATTGAGAAAGGCTCATACCATTGAGATAAGCAAAGATACAGGAGTTGACATTTGCTTTGAGGACAATTTCTAGTCCCAGGTGGTTTAGAACATGGTTCTAATGGACTCTGTGCAAGCAGACAGTAAACAGCCTAGGGCTTTTGTGTGATGCATAAATCAAGAACCTTGAAGGGTAAATTCCTCAGTAGATGAACTAGGAAAAATCTGTTCTGCAAAAGGAGATTTGCTTGTCAGTCTTAAATCTAGATAGAGGTCTAGAAGAGAAAAATTTGCATTCCTGAAAGATTTGGGCTGAAATTTATTCTACCAGTGTGGCTCAATCCTCAGACCCCAGGGCAAAAATGTAGTTTAAAGTAATCTTGGGTTGATAGTTCCTTCAGGCACCTGACAGAAGCAAACACAAATCCTCTGTAAAGAAATGCACTGCTAAAACTGAAATCTCCAATGATTCCTACAGACTAAATTCACAAATAAAAGAATCATCTAAAACCCAAGTAAATAAGTCATCATGCATAATACTTAACATAAACAATAAATTGCAACATGAGATGCAGATAGACTAAAGATATTTGATCACCAATATAAAATATGTGTGTGTAATATATTTAAAGAAAAATTTAAAAAGAAAAGTAAAAGATGAAAGAATAATATACCATCAAATTTGACTAAGGAGATTGAAAAATAAGCAAATAGAATTCTAGAAAATAGAAATATAGTAGCTAAGATATGTTGTGGATAGCTGAAATAGAATATGACACTGCTCAAGAGAGATTAATAAGTGAAAGATACATTGGGCAGTTACACAGAATTCAGCATAGAAAAAAGAAATGAAAACAAGTGACATGGAGAAAAGCTTGAGAAGAAAGAATATCTAATTAGAGTTCTAGAAAAAGAGAATAAAAAGAAAATGATGAGAATATTTGAAGAGTTAATACTTGGAAATTTTCCAAAATGATTAAAGATTTAATCCTTAAATTTAGGAATCCTAAATAAAAACATATTCCCATTCATATACCTTAGAGTAAAACCAAAGAATCCAATACAAAAACAACCAACCAAATTTAAACAACCACAGATTGTGATTGAGCCACACATAAAGGAATGACTATTAAATTAACAACTGACCTCTCAGCAATAATAGAAGCTGGAAAACGATGGAATAATGTCTTAAAAACCTTGACGTAAAATAACTATGTACCCTTCAAGTTTAAGTATAATCTAAAGATGTATTAATGCAGTCTAACGTCAATCATAGTCAATATCAAAAGATCTTCACTGAAGGAACTTCTAAAAGATATATTAGGAAAAGAAATACCCGGAAGGAATGCAGGGTATTTATGAATGATTCAAAAAGGAATATTAAGCAAAGAAAATGTTAAGCATATGGCTAAAGAAAAAAAAATTGCCTTAGAAAATATGTTTAGGAATGTTTGTAGCAGTGGACCGACCAGCAAGTAACATAGAGGTTGAGGTGGCTGGATCCCACGTGACCAACTGCATGGTGGAGTCCCAGACCCGATGGCTTGAAAATCATGTCAGACTTGTGTGCATGCATTCCTAAATCCTAGAGGAGAATGGAGGAAAGGGATTGTGATGGAGCCACGTTCTCCACAGGGGTGATATCTCCCTTTCTTTGTTTCTCTGTGTGTCTCCCCAGTGAGCACACATGCACTGTAGCAAAAGCTAAAAAAAAAAAAAAGTTACTGGCAGCATTGTTTGCAATTACACATCATCAAATAACTCTTATATCCATCTGTAGTATTCTGGGTAAAATAAATTGTGGAATATTTATATTATGGAATATTATATAATATTCATGAGTGGGTGAACAGGTATTAACATGGATGACTAGGAAAAAAGTACACCATAGAAGATACATTCAGTACGATTTCATTTATGTGAAGTTCAAATGGGCAAAACTAATGATACATTGTTTAGGAATGAGCTCCAATATGTGGTAATACTACAAAAATATGCGGGGGAGTGATGACCCCCCCCAAATTACTAGTTTTCTCTAATGGTTGGGTGTGGGATTCATTGAGGAGGTATGATCAAGGGTTCTTGATAATAATCTGGTTATATTAATTTTACATAGTCATATATTGAGTCAGAAAAGTCATGACACATTTTTGCATAGAAAACATAGAAAAATAAGTCATGACTTTTTCGAATCACCCACTATATTAATCATATATGCTGTCTTTATCATACATTTTATTAAAAATGTATAAAAAGCTTAGTCCTATGAGAAGGTAGTAAGAATAAGATTCAGGATTACTGTGGATAAAGGCTTCAGGCAAGAACAAGCATAACAAATTTGAGTATGGGGGGAGATACTTCGAACATTGGACAGCTCAAAGTTTCCTATCCTTTCCAGCTCACCTTGTATATTACCGGAGTGTGTTTTCCTGAATAGTGATATATAATAAAAAATATTTCATACTAATATTCATGAGTGGGTGAACAGGTATTAACATGGATGACTAGGAAAAAAGTACACCATAGAAGATACATTCAGTACGATTTCATTTATGTGAAGTTCAAATGGGCAAAACTAATGATACATTGTTTAGGAATGAGCTCCAATATGTGGTAATACTACAAAAATATGCGGGGGAGTGATGACCCCCCCCAAATTACTAGTTTTCTCTAATGGTTGGGTGTGGGATTCATTGAGGAGGTATGATCAAGGGTTCTTGATAATAATCTGGTTATATTAATTTTACATAGTCATATATTGAGTCAGAAAAGTCATGACACATTTTTGCATAGAAAACATAGAAAAATAAGTCATGACTTTTTCGAATCACCCACTATATTAATCATATATGCTGTCTTTATCATACATTTTATTAAAAATGTATAAAAAGCTTAGTCCTATGAGAAGGTAGTAAGAATAAGATTCAGGATTACTGTGGATAAAGGCTTCAGGCAAGAACAAGCATAACAAATTTGAGTATGGGGGGAGATACTTCGAACATTGGACAGCTCAAAGTTTCCTATCCTTTCCAGCTCACCTTGTATATTACCGGAGTGTGTTTTCCTGAATAGTGATATATAATAAAAAATATTTCATACTTTATTATTTGGAGGTCTTTTATTTCTTCCTTTTCTGATATAAAAATTTTATTTGTTTCTTCTAGGTCATAACTTTTGTGCAGAAGGTCCTAAATGTGGTGAAAACTCAGAGTGCAAAAACTGGAATACAAAGGCTACTTGTGAGTGCAAGAATGGTTACATCTCTGTCCAGGGAGACTCTGCCTACTGTGAAGGTGAGCAAGGTTTTCAATAAAGTCATTTATGAGAAATTGGTGGAGAAATGTGTACCTGGCAGGGGTTCTTAAAGTGTGAAAGCCTCATTTGGTTCTGGACCTATAGGATCCCACGGGAAATCATATTAAGTACTTAGGGTACTCTGTTCTCTTGGTTTATGTCAATGCTTAGTGCCATGAGGAATCAAGACCTTTGAAGGTACATAGTGATGAAACACAACAAGGAAACAAAAGCATGAGAAACATATTAAAGCCCATGTTCTGCTGTCACTGGACACAATGATTATAGAACACCCATAGGCACGTTATTTTCTGTTTTCTTATTTGAGATTGTCATCTCCATGTTCAATGAAATGTTAGGTAGCAAATTCTCTTTTTAAGTGATATTTTGATATTTGCTTATACTCAGTTGCCATCTTCACCAGCCAAGGTCAGAAGTTGTTCCTTTTTTATGAATAATTTATGATTTGTTGATTTCCAATCCCTACTAAAAGTCACAATGGTAGAGTGACTCATATCTGTAGAATGTGGACAGATGCCATTATAGGCAGTTGGTGTCCTCGAGCATCAAGGAGCCACATTTCCACTCCAGAGGCAGGACAGCTCCTCTGTTGTAGAGGGGCATCTCTTTCTAGCTCAGCACTCCATCTGACTGGTAGTGAGCATTGCGCACCCCTATGCCTGTAAAATGTCAGAGGAGTTGGACTTCTCTCTGACCCTGGTCTACTGCATAAATCCATATCAGAGTCCATTTATTTCTGAGGTGCTCTCTGGCTCCATCCCATCTGTTCTAGAGAAGCTCTAATTAGAAAAGTGATGACTGGGCTGTTACTCTGTCTTTGTCCCAATCATTCAAATTATTCCTGTTATCTTCACGAAGAGTATATTAAACTGCGGTGCTCTGTTAATCAGAAAGGTAGCTGTGTTGAATGACTGGTGCAAAATCTTGGGTCACTCTCCTTCAAGCAATTTGCTTCTCAAGTGGGTCAGACATTCTCAAGGTAAAGGCGATTAATGACAGTAACGGCAAATCTCTCTCCGATCTGCTGTTTTATGTTGTTAACCCCTGCTTAACTCTTTGGCTTTGACTAAAGACCTCTTTAGTTGTTAACAGAGAATGTATTTAATTACTACCAGTGATCAGTATCTGGTGGGTAGCCTCAGATTTTTTTCTTTTGCAAAACTTGCTTTGTTACTTCCTTGGTTCTCATTAGCAATGTATTATAACTGATTTTTTCCTCCTCTTTTTAACTTCTTTTTCTCTTGTTTGCTTTAGAAAGTTGAACTTGATTAGGGAGACATGCTACTTGAGAGAATGAAGCTGCCCCTTTGATTATGAACTTTTTCATCTGCCCTGTAGTATCATCTTAGTTATTGGTTAATTTGGGGAAAAGGGACTATTAATTTCAATAGTTTGCATTCATATCTTTTTTTTTAGACCTTACCTTGTACTGTTTTGATCAGAAAATAAAAGTAATTAACAAATTTAAAATATGAATACTCTCTATTCCATTTCCCATTAAAAAAATCCTATCAGCCAGTTAATAGCCTAAAAACTTCATTTTTTTCCTTGCTGTTATATTCAAGAATAGACTTTGAATAATTATAAAAATAGAAGGAACCTCAAAACCTTTTGTATCCTACTTCCACCACTGCCTGACCTTTTCCGTTGTCCATTGGAATCAGTACACCCACTTCACTGAGGTAGCCCCACTTCTCTATTAAGACCTGGCACAATAGGAAAGAAACATAACTGGTGTTGATGCTATTTGGGCTCATTGATAGCACTTTCCTTTGTAGTTTTGCTAGAGGATGCATGTGTTTGTTGGAGAAAGGCAGAGAGAAGGAAAGAGATAGAGCACCTTTCATGGGAGATAGTGATGCTACAATCCCTTCTCTCTCTCTCTCCCTCTTTTCGGGATTTTGGGTGCACATGCACATGCACCTGGCATGTTTCACAAGCTGCTGGGTTTGGAACCCCATCTGCTCACTTGGCCATGTGGAATCTACTGCCTTAACCACCAAGCCACAGGCTGACCTGATACCACCTTTTAGTACATAGAATCAGTTCCATGAGGAGCCAGCTACAATATTACACCTGCTCTTCCTGTAGGAGGCTTTATTTTTTTATTGTTGAGAGATGCTAGGTATAAATTACTGTTTTCTTGATTACATTCCTAAAAACAGTTGTGAGCCAGGTCTTGGACCAGACAGCGTTGTAGTTCTGCCTGGGTGATGGTGGTATGCTTGGGCATCAAGCCATGTCTCTGTTATTATGGGGCCTTCCCACAATTTCAGGAGATTTGTTCATGTAGATAAGGATAGCACCTAAGGAGAAATGGCTTAACACTAGTGCCTTCCTAGCTTGTGAGAATAGAGCTCAGGCGACAAAGCAGCGTTCGTAATAGGGCCTCTGGATGGGAGGCAGTGACAGTCAAGTAGAGTGAATCCCAACATTAGAACAGATACCTTTCGGGAACCAGTAGTTAGCGTAATGGCTATGTCGCTGGACTCCCACGTAGTCGACCACGGTTCGCGTCCCGGACCCGGTGGCTTAAAACTCACGCCGGGCACGTGTGCATGCGTGCCCAAGATCCCGAGAGGAGAATGGAGGAGAAGGAGGGATTGCGGCGTGACCATCCCCCCTGGGGGATGATTTCTCGCTTTCTGTCTCTGTGTCTCTCTCTGTCTGTCTGGCAAGCGCACGCACCCTATAGCGAAAACCTCCCTCCAAAAAAAAGAAAAAGAACAGATACCTTTCTCTCATTCTATTCTGTGTTTTCAACATGTTGAACTTCAGTCTGTTTGTTTGTATTCCTGTGAATGCATGATGGCTGCCATGGCTCCAGGCATTGCGTCCTCACACCAATATCCCAAGCAAAGAAGAAATAAAGGCACAGACCTTCTCTTTATGAGCAACTGTATTTTTATGTTCAAAAAGAGTTCACCTTACCAGGTCCCCTCCCTTCATCATCACCACTACCATGCACAGAAACCTTTCCCTGTCTTATTTTTCTAACCTGGGTTACACCTTCTTCCTCAACATACCCACATACCAATTTTTTTAGGAAAAAAGATTGAGATGACTGTTACTGATTTGGGGTAGTTGTGTTCATTTCCTGTAGTAGAAGTAAAGGTTTGCCTTTCTTAGGACTGAGCAATCTTTGCCTTTTATCGAAACCAAATAAGGCTATGGCAACAAGAAAGTGGAATGGTTTTTGGGTGGGAAAAAATAATCATGTCTACTCCATCCTACAACATTGAATTTTTTGGTTTGTGGCTATTTCTTCAGCCTTTGCCTAGGAATTTCCCTCTGGGTTGATCTGATAAATGAGATTAGAGGAGGCCAAATACCCACCTGGGTGTCAGAGACTCTTAGAGGTAATGGGGTTCATTGTCTCTAGCCTTGAGAGAACTAAATACTTAGGAACTGCTCTGGGGAAGTTATTTTTTACCCTTAGTAAATGGAGTGAAAATGTCCCGTATAGTAAAACCATGATGAACAAGACTGGTTTGCAAATTAAAACAAAATATAACACACATTGTCCAGGCTGTCTTGAAAAGCCTATTCAAGCTCTCAGTGGAAAAAGAAGCACAAAAGACTTTCGATTTTCTTAACTTCCTAGGGTAGTAGCAGAGACATGGAGTATTAAGGACTCCTGCTCTGTAAAGATTGTCGTAGAAAGTGCCATAGAGAAGGTATCAGAACTCCTAACCAATCAATAGAAGATAATAAGACCTTTTGTCAGCTATGATACGATTCATAGGCAGTCGTTTCATTTTGCCTGGCCTGACTCTCACAGGAGCATTTCCCATTTTGAAAACTGCTTTAGTTGGATTTTAGTGTTTTATGAATCCAAGCTGCCAAGGCTTTGTCCCTTTGGGCTGACATTTTCAACAGAATGGTCTTAAGTAGGTTCTGATACATTAGTTTAAATGAGAAGTAGCGTCTGAGGAAAGTGTAGTCTAAGAGGTCCTAGGCAGAGTCTTTCTCCCTGAATTTAATGTGCACAAGTATAGTCTCATAAGCTAGCCCTTCCTATAGTGAAATGTTATTTAGAAGAATAAAGAACAACGTGGTATCACAGGCACCACGCAACCTTGCCAGGCATGGGAAGTCCTACAATTAGCATTAAATGATCATACTTGAAGAGTGTTCTGAATTTTTCTTTATAATTGTTTTCTTCTTTAAAAAAAAAAAAACCAAAATTGGGTATGTGTGCTTGCTGGAGAGAGATGAGAAGAATGAAGAAGAGGAAAATGAGAAAGTACTTCTTAAGGGCATGACCACACCACAATCCCTTCTCCTTCTTTCTCCTCTTGGGATTTTTGGGCAAGTGCGCACACACACACACACACACACACACACATCTGCTAGATTTCCCAAGCTACTGGGACCAAAACTAGAAACTCACAGCAGCCATGTGAGATTCGGCTGCCCTAAACACCATGATTTAGCTGGTCCATGTTCTGAATTTTTAAAACTTTAAAAATGTTTGCTTCTTTTCTTTTTTTTTTTTCTAGACAATATGTATTCTGTCCAGAGAGACAAAGAAACAGAGAAGAGAAAGCACTCCCCATGAGGCATAGTCATGCTATAATCCTTTCTCCATCTCTCCCTCCTTTTGGGGTTTTGGACAGGCATGCACATATACCCAGCATGTTTCTTAAGCCGCTGGGTCCAGGACTTGAACTACAGGATCAGCTGTGTGTGATCTGGCTGGTTTAACCACCAGGCCATAAAGCTGGTCTTAAATTTATGTTGCTAAGCCTTATAGTAAGTCTCTGAGGTAAGTGGCAGAATTGGGCATTTTTGCTCCATTTTATAGGAAACTGGAGTAAAGATAATATTCAACTCATTTCAACTCCAAGGCTTTCTGTCCTGAGTTTCACTGCTTTCCCCCTACCACTCACACTGTTTTTTTCTTTCTTTTTAAGAGAGAGATTTTTACTATAGGGCATGTGTGCTTCCCAGAAAGACAGCGAGAAACAGAGACACA